TTATTTTGTTAACATGTTTAATTATCATTGGTTGTCATCTTCTATTCGTCTTTCGAATTCTCTATTTATTCTATTTATAGAAAAGAATATGATAGAAGTATTTAAGGCTCAATATGTTTCTCTACATGTTCGTAAGAGTAATCGTGCTGCCTTACATCTATATAAAGATACTTTGAAATTCAGGTAATACAATAACTTATTCTTAATTCTCTCCTTAAATTATGTCATTTGATCGATTATATTGAAATTTACGCTTTCCAATAGAATTCATGAAGTAGAAAAGAAATACTATGCTGACGGAGAAGATGCTTATGCTATGAGAAAAGATTTACCACAACTTGAAGCATTGACATAATTATTTAATTTATTCTCAATACAGTTTCCTAAATATCTTTTTATTATACATTTTTTTGGGGGTATGGAATAAATTTTAATCCACAAGAAATTCTTTTTATAAATTTTATTTAATACTCAAATATGCTTAGAATGAATTACGAAGGTAAAAATGATTTAATATTAATTATTTTTATTAACTATTTATTCTATGTGGGATTTAACTACATAGGTTAACTAATGAGAAACAAAATATATTAGACTGACGAATTATCAGATATTTGGACATAATACATTAACATCTCATAAGCGCTCTCTGTATGTCCAGTCCTGAACTTGGGACTTGGAACTAAATTCACACCCCCTACATTCTATACGTGCAAGTGATTCTGAATAGTGGGATCGATACCCTCTATGAGCCAATCAGAATCTGATTATGCATACACATTCTAATTGCGCGTATATATCGGTCCTAAGAGCAACATATATGGTGTTACCTATTTAAATTTAAATACTAGCATATTACAAACATCGTCAAGAGAAATGAGATCTCAAGAATAACTTTATATCTGCTAAGCACTAAGAAAAAACCAGCAATTCTAAAAATAGATTTAATATGAAATTCGTAATAAATCTATTTTTAGAAATTCCACTTTTCCTTTAGCGACACTCATCGTTATTTATTTAAAATTTAATTACGTATCATCAGAATTGATATTGGGCAATAAATTTAATTGGATTTTTGGATATTTGGACTATGTCCGATTTTTCCTAATTTTTTGGACCTGTAGATATTGGACAATTGTCCAATAAATATAAAATACTAATTGGACATATGTCCGATTTAGTGCTCCTAACGAGTTTGATCTGAACGACCCGTAACTGATCTGGCTATAGTAAATTTATTATATGGGTCATGACCCATATAATAAATTTACTATAGCCAGATCAGTTACGGGTCGTTCAGATCAAACTCGTTAGGAGCACTAGTCCGATTGTCCAATTATTTTATTGGATATTAGATCCCGATAAAGCTTTTAAAAAAAGCTTGTCGGACTCGATCCTTGAAGGACCGACTCAAGCCTGTCCCGAACAAAGTCCCATATGCATATCTTTTGTTCCAGAAGGGTATGCTAATTTACGTCGAGATCAATAAAATGCAATACTGTATTATTATTATTACATGAACGGACTCAACTCAAGGACTGAGTCCTAATCGGAG